GCAGTGTGGCGCTCCGAGAGCGCAGCGGGAACGTCAGAGCGGCGTTCTCGCCTCGGGCCGCTCAGCCGCCTTTACAACAAAAACCATTAATGTGATGTCCCAGCAGCTCGTCTACACGCATCCCATCAGCCCACGCGCAGCTTCGGACGCCGCAGCGACCGAGGAACGCTGGAAGGAAGCGAGAATCTGAAAACCAGCAAAGTTTGATATTTAAACGGTGATGTTTGCTCGCTCGTGCTGTCAAAGCTACAGCTGAAGAAGCCCGAGGCTCAACAAGAACACGGGTGAGAAAAATCACGTCCATAAACACTGAAGTCAGCTCCTGCTGTCCGCCTCAGGTCATCAGTCGGGGGGTCGCGCAGGGTAACGGCGGTCTCGGGGATCGAGTCATCACTGAGGAACGAAGCACGTCGCTTTGTTTTTAATATCAGTCTGATTAATAATTAGGACCTGGTGTAATGTGAGAGTGCAGCAGCCGCAGGCATCATCATCATCATCATCATCATCATCTGGGCTGGACTCTGAATCACGGACACTTTACTAACACCAGAGGGAAACTGAGTCGTCATAGCAACAAACATGACAGACCACAAAGCCCTCGTATGAAGTGCAGAGACAGACGACATCAGAGGACAGCTGCACTTACACTGATGTCTCTGCTACAGGTATCATCACTGTTTGCTACAGGAGGTATGACAGCAGCAGCGGGGACGCCGTCCTGTGCCGCTCGCCGTGACATCAGAGAACTGCTGGAGGTACAGCAGAGTTCCTGCTGATGTCACACAGCTCGCCGGGCCACTCCACCTGAGGGGCCTCCACAGTGAGGCTGAGCAAAGCCTGGTCACACAAACACACCTGTGTACCTGAAACCTGAGCTTCTGGCTCTTTCTGATTGGACGCAGGTGTTTCCAGAGTGATGGATTAACGCGCTCACACAGCTGGATTGTTGTCATTTCCAGATGTTGTGTGTCTGTGTTTTTACATCAAACTGAAGCCCAGAAATAAAACTTTTAACTGTTTCTTATGTCATGCTTCATAAGACAGCTCATGTCTCGGGTTGCCGTGGCAACAGCAGCAGCTGCTCAGCCCACGCGTCTTTTGAACAACGACAACAGAGAATCGCCTGGA